TAGCTACCCTGATTTCAGGGTCGTTGGCGTCTCCTCGAGGGTAACCTCGGAATTGACCCTTACCTTGTTTATCAAAGGATTTGTTTTTCTTCCTATCATCGGTTCCTGACTTGGATGACTTCGGATTGAAATTAAAATCGAGTACCGACATTGCTTCTTCGACAATAATATGTTGCTGGGCACGAGCAAGGAATTCCTGGAAGGTGTTTGGCTTATTCTGACATAAAGTCTAGCGAAAAATAGAATTCGGTTTCAATCCCGCAATGGCCATAACAAGCAAGGTTTCGGGATGACATGGCTCCATATTCTGAACTCAGTCATTGAATCGAGCAATATAATCCTTGACACTTTCATCGTCTTTCTGAGTTACATTCGCAAGGGATTCTTTTGGAACTAAACAAACTTGAGCCCCGACGAAGTGAGATCGGAAAGCCGACCTCAGCTGTTGCCACTTCCAAATAGAATGAGGGGGCAAAGAGTGGTACTATTTTTGAGCTCGAGACCCCAGAGTAAGAGAAAACATGCGAAACCGAAGTGCGTCCGAGGCCCCATGGAGATCCATCCACGATGTGTAGTGATTGAGGTGTGAGTCAGGATCCGACGTGCCATCATATAGTCCGATTTGAGGGACTTTGACTTTTCCCAGCACAGGTTCTGAGGTAAGCTCGGGTATTAAAGGAGAGTCGGCTTCTAAATATACGTGCGCCAAAGTGGAGGCTCGTCGTGGAGGATCTTCATGTGCCCGCTGTCGACTTTCCAACTCAGCAATTCTTCGTCGTAACACTTCCAGTTCAGTAGATTCTTGTCGGGCTGACCGATTTCTTTCAATTTGTTGACGGATATCTGTGCGAACCGGATGGGAATGAGTCTGAGGCCGCGCAAGTGGTGGAGAACGTCGTGGTTGTCTTGACTGACTTTCAACGGTTTCTTAATGAGGAACCACCGGAGGAGTGCGCGCTGTCTCGGCATGCCACACTACACGATCTGGGTGTGGAGGTGATGTTCGACTACGAGGCTGAGACGTAGCGTGAGACGTGGCTCCACCGCCGTCTCGTCGGGTAGATGGATTTCTCAGGTTTGCAGGAGTAGCTGGGATGATAGATTGTCCCGGCGCCGTTGTTGACATCCCGGGAGCAGTTTGTGCCATCAAGGCGGCAAACCCACGTGCGAACTCCAGATTTTGAAACAGAGTAGTATAATCTGGCAGGTTGGATATAGCTGTAGGACGCCTAGCAGAGTGATTGCTGCGACTGTGTCCTTCACGCGACGTATGCCCATGGTGATCTGAATGAGACATGTTTGCGGTGGTCGTTGTGGCTTAAGTGCCAAGGGATGAAGATTAACCTCAAATAACGTATGAGGCCCTTCCTCTAGCGCCAAACTGTTGTTATGCGCTTGTTAACAACGATCGAAAGTAAATTTAATTGATTAAGTTTAGTGATTTGAACGTAACATATGCGATAAAAACTCAACAATGGCCCCGGTCTGAGGTGAACCGAGGTGAAAAGCTTCTGTGAGCTGTTTCGTGTTTCATGGTAAAAATTTCAGTTTTGTGGTTTTTTTGGATTCCCCCGTACAAGTATCAGGGATGTGCTATATATAGTAACCTTTTACATATCGAGATTTTTTCACAGCTTTTTTCATAAAGCTACTTTTGGTGGGCGGCATTGTCAGCGGGCCCCACTTGGTCTCGTGATTTGTGAAGGAGGCGTGTAGGTGCCTTGTCACCAGCTTAGGAGGTGGTGACCTCGGTTCAGTGCGAATTCGGTTCTGGGATGACCTCGGTTGTAAGGATCACCTCGGTATTTTATAGCTTGGTCGGTTCGGTAGGCGGACCGGGATAATTGTTAGCCATGTCATTGTTGGTAATAATCCACTTAATACGCAGTTCGAGGCTAATAACTTCGGGTTACCGAGTTAGATGATAACAAAACCAAAATAGTTAAAGACACAATGCATTACCGACTTCAGTTCACCATTGTTCTTTTTTTCCTTTTGTGAACCCTACTTTAAGTGTAGGACTGATTTTTGTAAATCTTCAGGACCATGGTCACTTCGAGCCATAGACACAGCTTCATCCTCTGCACCATGTTTTTTCAAGCTAGCATTAGGTAAATTTTTTTCTTTGTGCTCATATGTAGTGTTTTTTTTATGTCCTCCATAGGTTATCTAAAAAGTGTACAGAATTTTGGAGGATTTCATCAGGTGTGGTTCTTTTTTTTGCCAACTTATCATCAATCTATGTTTTTTTTGAAATATTAATTTGATAGAATAATTATGTTTGTATGTTTAGTTGTTGAGCCAGATGTGAAAGTAAATCGAAAGATCATTGACATCTCAAAGAATGGCATTTGCAAAATTGCTTAAATGAACTTGATACAGAAATAATAAATTCATGCAGAAGTAGTTGTGTTGCTAATTTTCTTCTTCTTTTGGTGTTTGGGCTCACTTTAGACCTATCATATAAGACTTTAATAGACTTATGGCTCGGAACAGATCTTTTTATAAAAACACTGTATATTACAATGCATAGAGCTTTTTCTAATTTTGTGTTATTCAATCTATGTTCTCAATTTCTAGCAGAAACTTATGTACTATGTTTCTTCTAATAAAAATGTTCATTGAAATGCAAACTTGCTTTGGTTCTTTGTCTCATGGAGATTAGGTGAAGTTCATGAGGAAATATCGCAGCGTCATGTCGAGTCTAACCGCCTCAAAAAAATGCTCAGCATTTCAGGAGGTGCAGGGGTTTAACACTTCTTCTTATGCTAACGGTAATCGAGATTGAGATGATACAGAGTGACATGGTACAACTGTTATAATGATGCCCCTCCCTGTAAGTAGTTCCATTATTTATTTATTTATTTATTAATCTCTTTTTATTGAATATTCGTATTATTTTAAGTGAGAGAGGATTCTTTCTTTAACATAATGAAAGAGAGATTGATATTTGAATATACATTCTCTAATTTGTGTTGAGGTTAATATAGATCATTACATTCTTTTAGAAATGTGAAGATGTGATATGCGTAGCTAATAGTTTGGTAGTGCTTGACAATTGTCATGATCCACTGGATCAAAGTTCTCACTTGAATTTACAGTTCTGCACCTGGGATTCTAAGCTTATAGCGAGTCCGCCATCGTTTATCGAGCATTATCTGATGGGCTTATTATAAAAGTTATACTTCCACATATGTATGTTCCTATATGTTTCACGATATTCAGTTACTTATCCTCATCACTATTTGATTTTATAAACTATAGTTGTATGCAATTTATTACGTATTCATTGAACTGATCAATAGTGATTTTGCTTGCTAAAAAATAAAGTTTATAAATATAGGCATGTGTGTCTACATTGGTACGTGTAAAAATTATTTCAGGGAAAGAAACATTTTATGTAGTGCTGTGGAGTGAATCGAGTTGAATACAAGTTTTTCTTTTCCCATACAGTTAATTGTGGATCCTGCATTCTTATTTCAATCTTATGTTTTTTTTTTTCGTTTTCAAAGTTAACTTTCTATGATGTGATTTCAAAGTTGCTTTGCTATTCATGCATCATCAAGAAGGCAAGAACTGGGTAGTAATCAAAGTAGCGACGGGAAGCCTACAAGGTTCTGGTTAATTTTACAACAACCTTAAAGTAAAAGTGTGAGGAACAATTTTTAATTTATTTGTTTTTTTTTATATAGTGGCATTATATGCAGAAGATGTGGTTGAAGAGGGAGCAAGTACGTTCGCCAGACTCCGCCGAAGACCCGTATGGGACACATGCGAGGCCAAAGAGAAACTCATGGCTCAACTGAACTAATTGAGGAGAAAACTAAGCCCTTGACTACTATCCAGTCCATTAGGGTACTTGAGTTCGCATTATTTTGTTAAAAAGAAAAGCGATTGTAAAGATGGTTTATACCTTGACTAGCAAGTGAAATACTATGAGTACTTAGACCTCATACGCCAAATTAACAGAAGTATTTGCTCGTTCAATTTTTTTATTACCTGCTCTGCATTCATTTTTGTTGTTCTACCCTTACGGTGGTTTGCTCGGCAGTAAATATTTCACCTTAAAATTCCAATAAAAGTGTTACTTTGATCCTTTATATTGATTATTTTGTTTATTTGTTTTTGGTTCTAGAGAAGAGATTATTTTGAAGCTTCTATTAGTTTTCAGCATGATTAATTATTATTTTTACTCTTTTAGTTATGTGCTTTGCTTTTCAAAGATTTTTTGCGTTATTTACTCCTTTTTGGTTCTCTCTACATCTGTAGCTGAATATAAACAAAATAACAACTTTTATTTGACATTCTCGGACAAAATGATATATGTGAATTAAATTTGATGTGTATCGACTTCTATTAGAGAGGAATTATGTTATGCTTGTTACACTAGACTAATTTGTAGGGTAGTAACATATCTCTTGTTCGTTGTCCATTGAGTATCCGATATCTTTATTTTGTTCCTTGTTATAGTGTTGATGAATTCTCTACATTGTCGAATAATTATTTTCGTGACAAACAGAGCAAGAAGTTTTGAAAATTAATCATATGGTTAAAGTTAACCAAATAAATGCGACAACACCACCTGCACAACACAAATATATACCAAAGTAAAAGCATCCACAAACATATCAATTGGTCCTATTATTCTTAGTAATAATACAAAATTGAATTATTAAAATTCTCTACCCTAACAAATCATTAAAGATTAAATGACAACCCAAACTGAGCTCTTACTTAATTATCAAAATTTAAGCATAACTATAAATTAAATTTGGTTCGGCTGTGCGTGCACAGCTGAATGACCACTAGTATATATATATATATATATATATATATATATATATATAGAGAGAGAGAGAGAGAGAGAGAGAGATCATATAAGACTGAATTATAGTGAAAGAAATGAGAATAAATTTGGACCATAAGGTCAAGCATATTAATAGTTATGATGAAATCAAATTGTGGTCAAATATTTCCATTTAACTAATAATAAGGGCAAGTTGGTAAATAAATATATCAAGTGGGACCTACTAAATAAATCTATTCACTACACACATTTCTCTCTCCTTAACCTCACCACACACTTTTCTCTCTCTCCTCAACCTCTCTTCTCATTTTCATCTTCCCGCACAGAACACACACTTCACACACTCTCACACACACAGAGTTCCGGCCAGCCGACCGCCATATCGTCGCCACCTTCCGCCAATAGCCATCAGTTTCGCGCCCACCTTCCAGCCACCGGAGCATCGTCTTGCAGCCACCTTCGTTGTACCTACATAACCGTCGCCGCATCTCATCTCACCGCATCCGGCTTTCTGTCCGTCGCCGCGTTTCAGCCCGACATTGTCCACTTTCTGAGCTCGTCGTCGAAAATTTCAGCCCACCGTCATCATCCCGCCACCGCCACCATTTAAAACCAGTCCGCCGTGTCGAGCACCTCCGCCACCACCTGACATCGGCAACGTTGCTGCCGTCGCTTCCAGACCGACCCCGCTTCCAGCCCTTACCGTCCGTCGTCCGCTGATTCCGCCTCAGTCGACAGCCGCTTCAATGTTGTGAATCTTCCCGCCATCTTGGCCGCTCGCCGAAATCGCCGGTGAATGTCGTCGGATACAAACAGTTCAACGTCGGCCGCCGATAACCAATATGATTAGGGCCAGATATAGCAGATTGTTATACCATGAGTGTTGTTTGAGTTTTGGGGTCATTTATGTGAGAATTTGATTTATTTTAGGGGCCTAATTGCAAATTTTAAAATTTTATTTCATTTCAACTGAGTTCAATTGACAAATTGATAGTATAATAAAAGTTTAATACGTATACAATTATACATAAAATGCACTATATTAATTCTTTATACTTCAATAAAAATTCTTGCTTAATTTTTTTATTCAAACCAAAAAATAAAAAATAATATATTTAATATAGTTTGGTTTTTATTTTAGTTATTTACATAAAAAAATGTCATCATATCGAAAATCGATATATACTAATAATAATAATAATAATAATCGAAACAAAATATAATATTTCTTGTTGAATTTATATTCGTCGTATCTCGTTCGATTTTGTACAATCTGATAGGTATTTATGTGCAATTAGTATAACCATTATGTGCATTCGCAATACATATAAAAACTATATATAAAAAAAAAACCAGTATAATTTTTTATTAAAAAAATATAAATAGAAAAATTGGTAATATTTTTAATATAGTTCGTCATGTGAGTTATTTTATTCATCTAAAAAGACTAAATTCGAAATTTAACCAAACAATTTATTTAATCGATTAGCAGAATTACCATTTTTTTTTTGTACGCGTATGTTGTTTTATAAGTTGTAACATGTCGTGTTATAAAGTGCAACAAATTTCTGTATATAGTGCAACGTATAGATATATAAAGTGCAATTATGTAGACCTGTTTTTTAGATTTATACCACGAAATATTTTTTGCGGGAGCGATGTTACTTATGTTGATAAAGTGCAACGGGTCGTCTTATAAAGTGCAACTTATTGTTTGATAAAGTGCAACATCCCGTTATATAACGTGCACTAATTTATAAATTAACTAATGTTACTTATGTTGATAAAGTGCGATGAGTCGTCTTATAAAGTGCAATTTAATGTTTTATTAAGTGCAACATCCCACTATATAACGTGCATTAATTTATTAATTATGTGTATTCGAAAACTATGTAATAGATATAATTGTACATCAAATTAACTTATTATTAAAATATCTTTTTATTTATTATTTTCTATTATAGAAACTACTCATTACTATAAATTATTTTTATGTGTTTTTAATATTTTACATTATTGTTATTTATTAATTTATTTATCATATAATATATATGTATAACAAAAGGTACAACAAATGAATATTTATTAACTTTTAATAATTACAGATTTGACACGTGGGTTAAATTGAAATAAACTTACAATTGTTTAAATTGCAAATAGATCCTTACACATAATCTAATTCTCAATAATGTGCCCAATCGTGCAATCCATTTTCAGATTTTCATTTTGCTACCATCCCCTCTCCAAATTCATCTCCATCCTCCACTACCACCCGCCGTCTACCAGCCACCTACGGTCGCGCCGTCCGGCGTCCGTGGCCGCAACGACATTTTCCTTCATGCTTGATCTTCCCGCCGCCGTGACCTGTGCGGGTTTAGCCGCGTCTTACGACAAGTTCCCGACGACCGCGACCTATTGTCGGAGTGTGTTGGCGGTGACTGCAACATTTGGAGCTTCGTGGTGCCCTTTTGCGTCTGGCAACACGGTTGTGTCTGGTGGATGGCGGCGGCACATTCAGGAACCTTGGCGGCAGGGAGGCGGTCGACGGTAGAGGAGCTCTCCCCGGTTGGTGGTTGCATGTTTTTGACGGTGGATGTGCTCACAGACTATTTCCGGCAAGGATGACGACCAATGACAGCGTTGGAGACCGGGCGGCGGCGGCTGAGACACATCGTCTGCGTTTGTGTATATATGTTTATGTATGTATGTGTGTGTGTGTGTGTGTGTGTGTGTGTGTGTGATTAATGTGTTTGATGCGTTTGATGCTGATTAGAGCTTTCTGACATTCCTCGGTCCATTCGAAACATTTTCCTTTCTTGATGGCTTCGAAAAAAGGTTTACAACGATAGGTAGATTTGGAGATGAACCGATTAAGCGCGGCAAGTCGGCCGGTTAGAGCCTGGACGCCTTTGACCGACATCAGAGGAGTTAAATCTTGAATAGCCTTGATCTTGGCAGGATTAGCTTCGATTCCTCGTTGGCTGACCAGATATCCGAGGAATTTTCTGGATCCAACTCTAAAAGTGCATTTTGCGGATTTAAGACCATGGAATATGACCGAAGAATATTAAACATTTCTTGAAGATGCATTACGTGGTCCGAGGCATTCACCGATTTGACGAGCATGTCGTCTACATATACCTCCATGGTGTAACCGATCAGAGTGGCAAACATTTTGCTGGCCAGACGTTGGTATGTGGCTCCAGCATTTTTCAACCCGAAGGGCATCATGGTATAACAGTATAGACCCCGGGCAGAATAGAACGAAGTGTGTTCTGAATCATCGGGATCCATGGGAATTTGATTGTAGCCCGAGTAAGCATCCATAAAACTCATTAACTCATGGCCCAAGATGGCATCAACCATATAATCAATGTGCGGAAGTGGATAACTGTCTTTCGGGCACGCTTTATTCAAATCTGAAAAACCTATGTACAATCGCCACAAGTCGTTGCTCTTTTCACGAGGACGGGATTAGACACCCAAGTCAGATACTTGGCTTCTTTAATGAACTTGTTGTCCACGAGCTTTTTTACTTCCTTCTCTTGAGCTTTTTGACGATCTGGCCCCAGCTTCCTTCGTTTCTGAGCGACAGGTTTGACAGTTCGATCGAGATTTAGCTTCTAGCTAGCAACACCAGGGTCAATTCCCCTCATATCTTCATGCTTCCACGCAAAGACATCAAGATTATTTTTGAGAAACAATATAAGTTCGGACCGAATGAGTTCTTGGAGATGGCTACCAATACGTAACGAATTTTGGCATGTCGGTTCATCGACATAAATCAGTTCAGTTTCTTCTCCGAATTCGGCTCGATCACTTCGACTCTTTTCCTTGAACTGAGTTCGAGGATCTAACTCGTCTTCTTCTCGGACTGGTTCTTTTTCGGGTCATCTTCCTCGGTCCTCCATTAAGGGATCCGAGGTGAGGGTGACGTCAGCTTCAGGAGTTGGAATCTCGAAAGTCATATTTTCCGAAGCCGTCGATGGTTGGGGATCATCTTTGTCGACCGATGTGGTTGAGTGAACGCCTGTGGGCGGTAAGAGAGAGATGAGCTCTCGTGCTTCTCGTTGATCACCGTAATGAGTGCCTTCTCCACGTATTGTGGGGAACTTAAGCGCGTAATAGAAAATAGAAACGGTAGCTCAGAGTTTGTACAAAGCGGTTCTTCCTATAATGGAATTATATTCATTGTTGATGTCAAGGATTTTGAAGGTTTCCATGACAAGATTTGTGACATGTTCCGACGTGCCAAATCGGACAGGCAGTGTAATCTCACCAATAGGTCGGGAGATACTCCCATTAAACCCCTGTATCTGATCATTGCAAGGTCGAATGTCCGAGGGGTCAAGGCCCATTTTATCGAATGCTTTCAACATCAATATGCTTGAGTAGGCCCCAGTGTCAACCATAACACGGTGAACTGGAATCCCGCATATCGGAACAGTAAGAACAAGGGCGCCGGAGTGTGGGTGTGCAAAGTGATTTGCGTCCTCCATATTGAAAGTGATGGGACAATTACGGGCATTAATCACATCTCGTAAATTGGTAGTGAAAACTTGCTTACCCTAATTGTAGGCTTGTCGAGCATAGGCTTTGATTTGACGACGAGATAACACGATTTTCGAATTATTGGTGTTTACTCGGTGAACGATGATTTGCATTGGACTCGGGGAGCAGGTCCTTTTAAGTCTTCAGGGATTTTCAAACATGTCAGAATTAAATACATCCGAGGTGAACGTAAATACTTCTTTTTCCCCTTGTCGGATTCGTTTTGGTATGGCACCTCGGTCTTCATCCTCGTCATCATCATAGGGCTCGATTTGACGCCCTGGCCCTAGTTTTCGAACGTCGTTGTTTCGATAGAACTTCCTGAGTTATGGATGAACGATTAAGCGTAATAAAATGGCTAACAAGTTCAAGCACTCATCGGTATTATGTCCTGGCGATTTATGATAGTCACAGTATTGTGACTTATCCAACTTGTCCTCGGGCATTCGAAGTGGTTTCGGTTCAGGTAAAATGCCCTTTCCCTTGATTTCTTCATAAATTGTTGCGGCCCCTGCAGAATATACAGTTTGGTATTCCGATTTCACATCATTTGTGTAATGCTTCCGGGCTGCTCTAATCTCAGGGTCATTAGCATCTCCTCAGGGGTAACCTCGGAATTGAGGCTTATTTTGTTTCTCGGCAAAAGACTTATTTTTCTTCTTATCGTCGGTTACTGACTTAGATGACTTTGGATTGAAATTTAAATCGGGGACCGACATTGCTTCTTCGGCGATTATGTGTTGCTGAGCTCGAGCAAGGAATTCCTGGAAGGTGTTTGGCTTATTTTGGCACAACGTCCATCGGAAAATGGAATTTGGTTTCAATCCAGCAATTGCCATAACAAGCAAGGTTTCAGGATGGCACGGCTCCATGTTTTGAACTCGGTCATTAAATCGAGCAATGTAATCTTTAACGCTTTCATCATCCTTCTGGGTTATGTTAGCAAGAGATTCTTTCGGAACCAAACAAACTTGGGCCCCGATGAAAAAAGATCGGAAAGCCGACCTCAATTGCTGCCACTTCCAAATAGAATGAGGAGGTAAAGAGTGGTACCATTTTTGAGCTCGGGGCCCTAAGGTAAGAGAGAACATACGACACCGAAGTGCATCCAGGGCTCCATGGAGATCCATCCACGAAGTGTAGTGATCGAGGTGGGAATCATGATCTGACGTCCTATCATACAGTCCGATTTGAGGGACTTTGACTTTCCTAGGTATGGGTTCCGAGGTGAGCTCGGGCGTTAAAGGAGAATCGGCTTCCAGATATACTTGCACCGAGGTGGACGCCCGTCGAGGGGGGTCATCTTGCATTCTTTGTCGACTTTCCAATTCGACGATTCTTTGTCATAAGGCTTCTAGTTCAGATGATTCTTTCCGGGATGACCGATTTCTTTCTATCTGTTGACGAAGATCTGTTCGTACCGGATTGGAATGGGCTCGAGGCTGCATAGGCGGTGGAGAACACCGAGGTTGATCGGATTAGCTTTCGGCAGTCTCTTCGCGGGGAAGCCAGAGGAGCACGTGTTACTTCCATTTGGTGAGGAGTTCTCGCTCTATGCGGTTGAGACGTATGACTTCGTGGTTGAGATGTCGCATGTGAGGAGGCCCCATCGTCGTCTCGTCGCGCAGGTTGGATTTGCGGATTTGTAGGGGTCATAGGGATGACGGATTGTCCGGGAATTGTCGTTGATATTCTGGGTGCAGTTTGAGCCATTAAAGTGGCAAACCCACGCGCGAATTCTGGGTTTTGAAATAGAGCGGTATAATCCGACACGTTTGCTACCGTCATACGACGTCCGACGGATTGAGCGGCGCTTCCACTATGGCCGTCTCACGAGGTATGACCACGATGATCTGAGTGTGACATGAGTATTGCAAATAGCACAGCTGATCAACGGCAGATCGAAGATTAACCTCAAATATCTTATGAGGCCCTCCTTCTAGCGCCAAACTGTTGTTATGCGATTGTTAACAACGATCAGATGTGGGATTAATGGATTATTTAAAGGAGTTTGGACGTAAAACATATATTAAAAACACAAGCAATGGCACTGGTCCGAGGTGAACCGAGGTGAAAGGTGTTGGGCTCTTTTATATATATATTGAATGTTCAGAGAGCGATCCCCGTATAAGTATGAGGATCTGCTATTTATTGTATCTTTTTGAGCTCATACTTCGGGACTTACAGTTGCTTTTACATAAAGTGGCTTTTCGTTGGGCGTCCATGTGAGTGGGTCCCGCCTGAATGATGAAACATCTTGTAGTGTATGAAGGTGTCGCGTTAGCGCCTTGTCACCAGCTTCGGGTATGATGACCACGGTTAGTGATCGCCTCGGTCTTCAATGAGCGGGCCGGTTTTACTCGTGTCAATTTGGGGTTCGGTCGTAGTGTAAAACGAAGCGGTCAGGGTTTAGGTTGATATTAATACTGATTCGTCTAATACTTCTAATACACGATTTTTGAGAAGTTATCCCGGATAACCGGATCGGAGGATAATAGATGCACCTACCATATGTCTCCCATAAGGGATTGGTTCTTCAATTTTCAGGAGATCAACGGATGGGTTGTCTATATGGGTAATGATAATTCTTGTAAGACAATTGGGATAGGTTCAATCCGTTTGAAGAATCGTGATGATTTCACCAGAGTTTTGACGGATGTTCGGTACGTGCCGAGTTTGAAGAAAAACCTCATCTCATTAAGAGCTTTGGAATCCAAAGGCTTGGTAGTGACTTTGCGAGATGGAGTTATGAAAGCTACATCCGGCTCGCTCGTGGTAATGAAAGGCATCAGGAGGAATAATTTATATTACTATGAAGGTGATACAGTCGTTGGGACAGTAACAGTAGTAGATTCCACCAACAAGGAGTTTGAAGCAGTCAAGTTGTGGCATATGCGTTTGGGACATGCTAGTGAAAAGTCCTTGCAAACATTGGCAAAACAAGGACTGTTGAAAGATGTCAAAATGTGCAAACTAGAGTTTTGTGAGCATTGTGTTCTAGGAAAGCAGAAGAGAGTGAAGTTTGGAACGATTATCCATAATACCGAAGGTGTCTTGTATTATGTTCATTCGGACGTGTGGGGACCTTCTAAGACCCCATCATTAGGCCGAAGACGCTATTTTGTCACTTTCATCGATGACTTTTCCAGACGTGTTTGGGCGTACACTATGAAGATGAAGGATGAAGTGCTTAGTGTCTTCATTGCATGGAAGACACAAATTGAGAATCAGACTGGAAGGAAGATCAAGGTCCTACGAATGGACAATGGTGGAGAATATACAAGTGATCCCTTTCAAAAAGTTTGTCGTAAAAATGGCATTGTTAGGCACTTCACTGTTAGACGGACACCACAACAAAATGGGGTGGCAGAGCGCATGAATCGAACATTGGTGGAGAAAGTTCGATGTATGTTGCCCAATGTTGGTTTGGGCAAGGAGTACTGGGCTGAGGCTGTAACATACGCGCAACTCCTCATAAATCGTTTGTCGTCATCTGCAAAAGATGGTAAAACACTGTTGGAGGTATGGTCAGGGAAACCTGTTGTTGACTATGGATCTTTACATGTCTTTGGGTATTCTACGTTCTATCATGTGAAGGATTTAAAGTTAGATCCAAGAGCAAAAAAGGCTTTGTTCATGGGAATCACAATTGGCGTGAAGGGATATCGTCTTTTGTGTTTTGAGACGAACAAAACTGTGTTTAGTAGGGATGTTACATTCGATGAACAAAGTATGATAAAGACGACGCAAACCCAACAGGTGGAGTTGACACCGAAGCAGGTGGAGATAGATGCGATGACGAGATAACCAGCTATGATCGACAAACAATATCAAACGATTCGTCGGATGATGAAGTTCAGACTCATGAATCATTAGATTTACCCATTCTATTGAGAAAGCCCAGACGAGAGATTCAACAACATGCTCGATTGGCGGATATGGTGGCTTATGCACTTCCAATTGTTGATGATGACATACCTTTCACTTTTCAAGATGCAATTCAAAGTTTAGAAAATAAGAAGTGGAAATGGGCTATGGAGGAAGAAATGTTGTCTCTCCAGAAGAATCAAACTTGGAAGGTGACGCAACTACCAAAAGGCAAGAGGGAGATAAGATGCGAGTGGGTATTTGAAAAGATAGATGGATTTCCTCAGAAGAATGATGTGCTCTACAAGGCAAGGTTGGTGGCTAAAGGCTACGCTCAGAAGGAAGGAGTTGATTATAATGAAGTGTTTTCTCCAACTGTTAAACACTCTTCCATTAGAATTTTGTTGGCCTTAGCAGCACAGTTGGATTTAGAGCTAGCTCAACTTGACGTGAAGACGGTGTTCTTACACGGAGATTTGGATGAGGAAATCTACATGACTCAGCCAGAAGGATTCAAAATTCTTGGAAAAGAGAATTGGGTCTGTAAGTTGAATAAATCATTATACGGACTGAAGCAATCTCCGAGGCAGTGGTACAAACGGTTTGATAAGTTTATGATTGGGCAAAAGTACACGCGGAGCAGACATGATAATTGTGTGTATTTACGCAAGCTGCAAGATGGATCTTTCATTTACTTACTCTGGTATGTGGATGACATGTTGGTTGCATCAAAGAGCCAAGTGGAGATTGATAAATTGAAGGCTCAGTTGAATCAAGAGTTTGAGATGAAAGACTTGGAGGAAGCTAAGAAGATACTCGGGATGGAGATAAACAGGGACAGAATGAGAGGCAAGCTTTGTTTAACTCAGAAGCAATATCTGAATAAGGTACTACAATATTTTGGCATAAAAGATGAGTC